GTGAGGAGAAGTTGGATTGGCCGATTCCTTGAGGAGTCGCTGCCACTCTTTGATTTCCTTTCCACTCCCAGGCTAGAGGGTCAATAGACAGCTTCCTGAGTGGGACTCTCCCCACCCATCGAGAATGAACCACCCGCCCGTATCCATCCCTTTCTTCCACCACTCGAATCTGCGGAGGGTTAGCTCATTCTTTCACAGTCACCTCCTCAATGTATTCTAGCATCCCATCCGCGTTAGTTACTCTCCAACTTTGCACTTTTCTAAAGCCTGACGTGGTTAGGCTGAGTAGCTTCCATGCGGCCTGTTGATTGTCCGTGGTGGTGCCTGCATACCAGGTGCCCGGGGGGTCTAGGCCCTCTGGGCCCAGCAGGGCCACCCAGTCCGGGGGGATAGCCTGAATAAGCGCCCGCCAATTTGTTTCCACTGAGCGAAGGTTATGCAGAGTTGCTTTGACTCCCTCCAGCGGCTTCCATGTCCCCGGTACATCCGACCATAGATCAGCCACAAAAGTGACGCCCCTGCGGATCCATGTCTTTCCAAATGCACCCGATTATGGGCCTGCAGAGAACTCGTTGCCGTCATTGGCTAAGATCCTTGGATTTTTGAACAAGCATTGCCTCAAAACTTCTTCTTAGTGCACGGTGAGGTCTGGAGAGCAGGGGGGTCAGCGATCCAGGCTTTCCTCACCGCCTCCCAGAATTCAGATTTTAGTTTCTTCTTCATGAAGGATTTCACAAAAAAGCACCGGGTCCCCCACACGTCCTCTGGACGGAGCACCTACCAATGCTGCCATTCCCTGATCAGCAGGGTTTCTGCCAGCAGGATCCAGTCATCCTTGTGGGAGGCCATGGCCAGCTTTGCTATCCAGGCTCTGAGTTGAGCCTGGTTCTTCCTTTTTGGGTCCATCAGGCCCAGACCACCTTGGTCTTTGGGGTAAGTTATCAGTTCCCACGCCACCTTGACAAGAAATCCTTCATCCGCCATTGTTCGGGGTTTCCACAGAAACCTGGACACCAGTCTCTGAATTACTGCCAACACAGTATATGCCACCTCTCTGACCGTGCCGACGAACCACAGCAAGGCGGACAAGGCCACATTGACTACCAAGGCCCTACCAAACAGAGAGAGATGCCCGACCGAACCCCATATCTTTAGTCTAGCCGCTATTCTCTGTTCTAAGATAAGACCTTGTGCTGAGCTCATGATCTGTGTGCTGACCAATACCCCCAGGAATCGTTCACCTTTCGCTGGGTCTACTCGCTGCATGCCCCACTGAACCTGGAGGGAAAGATCTGCAGGGAGGAGGTAAGTGGATTTGTTCCAGTTTACCTGGGCACCCTACAATCTCTGTCCGTCGACAGTCTCAGGCCACGAATCAACGGATGTTTCCTAATGCAGTTCAGAGGTACCTCCAGCTGGAGGACAAAGAGGAGAGGGGCGAGAGGGCATCCCTGTTGCAGGGAGCGGGTGAGATGGAAGGGGCGGGACAAGTGGCCGTTAACCAGGACTGATGAGGTTGAGAAGGTGTACAAGGCGATCACTCATCTGTAGAATTCCTCTGCAAAGCCCAACTTTCTCAAAGTAGTAAGACGAATGACCATCCCACCCGGTCATACGCTTTCTCCATGTCCAACAGCAAAATCGCAACATCCCTGTGTTCCGCCTGTACCACCTCGATGGACTCAATAGCAGTCAGAATATTTACAAAAATAAACCTTCCCTGTACAAACGCTCCTTGGTCCCTCTCGATCAGCCTTGGGAGAACATTTCCCAGTCGGATGGCTAGCGTCTTGGCCAAAATTTTATAATCTACGTTGAGAACCGAGATCGGTCTGTAATTTCTAACATTGGCCTTGTCCCCCTTCTTGAACATCACTGAGATGACTCCATGAGTCATCATCTCTTCCAAATTGCCACCTGTTAACACCTCGTTGTATACCTGTACTAACGCAGGTGCGAACGCCCCCCAGCAAGCTTGGTAAAATTCTACCGTCAGTCTATTTATACCTGGACACTTGCCATTCACCATCTCCTTGAGTGTATGCTGCAGTTCCTCTGAGGTCACTGGTCTGTCCAGCTCGAGCCTTTCCACTGTGGTCGGATGCACCCCCGTGTCCTTCCACATATCCACCTCTTGAGATAAGTCAGAGTGCACAGTGTCTTCCCACCAGCGAGAGGTGAGGATGTCCGAGTAGTATAACTTTGCATACTCAACCATTTCTGCTGATCCTGTGGCTGGGGGAGCTGCTTGATCAAACGGGTGATCTAGTTGTACCACCTGATGGAAGGAGGTGCTCGGGAGCAGCTTGCGGAATGTTTCTTTGGTAAGTCGGTCCTGAACCATAATGCCTTTGAGTTTCAGAGCTTCCTCCCATCTACCCTGTTTGTCCAGCTGCAGCTTGTCTCATTTTGCCAAGCGCTTTTCCCTTTCTCTGGCCCAGGCCAGTTCTGATATGGGATGAATCTTCATCCTCATCTCCGCTGCTTCCACAGCCTTCCTGCAATCCTCTTCTTCCTTGTTTCGCTCCCTAGCTAGAAGCCTTGAGGAGATGTCCATCATCCCCGAGACTGGGGCTAACCCCCCTTCCAACCATTCTGCCATAGAGGAAAAATGCGGTCTTGCCGATTTCCAGGCCTCCATGTGCTCCTCAACCCACTCTCTCAGACCCATTTCCTCGAGGTTCTGGGAATTTAACTTAAAATACCCTCTCCCCCTTTCACCTAGGGACTCCACTACAACCTCTGCTAATACAGGTTTGTGGTCAGAGAGGGGGTGGGAAATGGCCCTGACCGCTGTAACCTGTTGTGCCAGGGTGCTGTTCACCAGAAAAAAAATCTAGGCGCCTTCTGCACACCTCGCCAGTATCTCTCCTTACATTCGAGAACCAGGTGAAGCCCAGGTCGTCCGGGTTAAGCGTCCTTAACGGGTCCAACAGTTCCTTGGCCTGCATCAGGTCCAGCAGCAGTCCCACATCTTTTCTCCCTGCTGTGCTCGTGCCTTCCGATAAAGCGTCGTCCAAGGAGACGTTCCAATCGCCGGTCAGGATTAACCGGTCCGCTGCGGGAATGACCGCCTGCAGTTTCTGAAAAAAGGTGCTCCGGGACTGTAGATCCAATAGGGCATACACCGTCATGATCACCCAGTCCCACTGTCTTTGCCGTAAGCGGATCCAAGCCCACTTACCCCACAGATCCGCCTCTGAGTCTACCACCTGTGGTTACCACCCTTCGTGCCCTGTGCGGGGGACCAGACCTGCGGCCCCTCCCACCAACTGCTCAACGCTGCGAGCTTATCCTCACTTAATTTCGATTCCTGCACACAGATACAGTCCACCTTTTCCCATGCCACCCAGTTCTTGATCCTCTTCCTCTTTTCTCTGTCCGAGTTGTCCGCCATTCCCCTGGCGTTCCACATGGCGAGTTTCAGCTTAACCATGATGAGCTTGAACATCCCCTGGAAATTGGATGGGGGGGGTTCCTTGTGACTGGGACTGATCTGCCCACCTCGCCTGCTCTGGCTGCGGGGACTTCAGCATAGGGCTGAACTTCCTTGAGGTCCTTGAGTTGTTGGACTGAGACGATGAGCGCCAAGCCTCTGCCAGCGAGTCTACCAGGAACTGAGAGTGGAGGTTTTTTGTTAACCCCAATTTGTCATTGACACTCAGCAGAACTAACGACGTGATCTCTGATGTGATAGCTATCGATTCTAATTCATGGCTATTCCGTTCTCTCACTGCATCTAACTGGAACCAGTTTACTTCTGCCTGTGAAAGGGAATTGGCAGTGGTTGAGTCAATCCTGGTGTCTATCAGAGGGAAGTACAGTTTGTAAGTCCTATCTTGTAGCTCCATAACCAGGTTAATCATTGTTGATCTAGCGACGATCCTAAGTGGGAATGTGTCCCCAAATAGGTTCTTCGTGTGGGTAACAATCTCGATCGGAGACGGAGTCTTTGCCACTGATTCGGACGGTAAGTACCGTGTGCCCTCCCCATCTGCCATTCCCAGGAAAAAGATCGAGTCTCTACCTCTTGAACACACCAGGGGAACAACTCGTCTTTCTACATTGTCCCTGTTCTCGTACGCTATCTCCTTCCCCTGGTATAGTGGATTTCCCCTGCATTGCCCTCTCCGGTTATTCCCCGTGACTGTCCCTCCCCTCCTGTGTGAACCCGCTGAGCTGCCCGTTGAGGACGCTGATCCCTCTTCGTACAGTCCTTCCCCCTCGCCCCTAGCTGTATCTAGTCTGGCCGCATCATCACCTATGAACTCGCTACCCATCACCACCCTCGATTTGGAGGAGGTTGACATGAAGGATCTCTCTGCCCTCCCCTCTGCCACCTTCCCTATCGAGGTCTCCCCTCCTGGTCGCCTTCCCTCCCGGACTCGAGTACTATGCAATGTAGAGTGTTGAGGATCTACCCCTACCCCTCTGGATCCACAGACCTCTCGATGAAACAGTTTCGCTCCCTGTCCCAGCGGTCTGGAATAACGGGGCTGCCACTGGTCTGTGTGTCCCGGCAGTCTACCGTCTTCGGCATATTGTGGGCCTGGGACGTGTGCATTCGGGGGTTGATGGTAGATGTGAAAAGGCTGGGGTCCAGCTCCTGAGTAAGTTGGGGCGTAGTGTGCCGCGGCCATGACCTGCTGACAGGTTTGATGTGGATTGGGAAGAGGGGGGGGGTATAAATGAGAGTAAGGCCCTTGCCATTGAGAGCGAATAAACCATTGATGCTGGAGTGTCGGGGGGTCTGCGGGACCGGTAGGATAAGGTGCCTGGTATGTATCAAGTCGGCTCATCTGAGGAATGCCGTACTGCGAACCTGGAGGCGGACCAGCAGCTTGGAATTGTTGTTCCCCGCTATTGTACACTTGAGTGTGGTGGTCTTCCCGGACCCCTGCGGTATCGTGATTACGAGATCCCGCCCTTCTGCCTTCCTCGTTCGATCTCACTTGTGCCGATTGCCCTCTAGCTGCTGATGCTGCTGCAGGTGGCGGGGCCGCGACTGCAGAAGCCGGTGTCGGGACAGAGCTTTGTCGAGGGAGCCTGGAGTTAACCCACTAACGACGCGACCGGTCCTCTGTGGCATTCCTCGGGCAGTTTTCCTCCGTGTGGAAGTACCACCTGCACTTCCGACACCAGTCTAAATACGGAGTCGCCACCTCCACCTTCCATAGTTCCCCTTTCGGGGATTCGATCGTTAGTGTATCTTCCACTCGAAACCTTGCTTGCGGATCCATATCTATCTTCAAGTTCATCAGTTTTGGCCACGATCTGTCCATCTCAGGGGCATGTACATGCTTCACTCCTTTAATCAGGCCTTCAATGGCGCTTGAGAGGTAGTACATGGCATCTAAAGTCACTCTCAAAGCCACTATCCAAAAATTTGACTCTGCATCCTTCAGCCTTAGATCCTTCAATTCTACCTTGGTCATCCATGGCTTGAATGACACAAGGTAGTCTTTTCCTTTCAAAGAGAGTTGCGTCGAACCCTTCTGTACCAACCATGTAGCCACCTCCACCGCCTTAGCCACGTATGAAATGACATTAGGTCCCTCGAATTTGATCCTTCCCCTTGTCACCTCCGGTCTGAACAGGCGTTTCGCAAACCATCCATCTTCGTAAGCTCTCACTAGATCCTCTTTCACCGCCCGAGATAGGTTCCTTGACTCGTCCTGGAAGATGAAGATAACAGTTCGTTCCTTTAACCACCTCTCCTTAATCGCATCTAAGGAGCCATTAACTTTGAACCGCTTGCCTTTCTCATTGCTGACCACCTCCCCCGCACCAGGGGTAACTTGAAGTACCCTCTTGTCGTAACATTGACCCAGCGAGTGTCGGACCTTGTCTTCTACTGCCCAGTAATCCGCCGGCGGAACCGGGAGTCTCTCCTCCTGATGAGTTTCCCCTTCCATCGATGTTCTCCGTCTCCGTTGAAGACACCTCCTGTGGCCTGAGTAGGTGTGAACGTGGCGGTGACAGCGGATGCACCCGTGCGAGAGCCCCTGCCCGGTTCCTGGCAGAATCACAACGCGAATCACCCGAAGTATATAGTCCGTTTTACCGTCCCGATGAAGGTACGCCCGGCTAGGCGCGTCTTTGCGGGGAGCAGCTCCCCCTAATTCCGACGCGCCAGGTGTTACCGTACACTCCCAACGTGCCTAGTCTCTGATGGTAGGCGTGCTCGGGTCGGTGGCCTCAGGTGAGATCACCTGGGGGCATTCGACCGCTCCCCCAGCGGCCTGTCTATGAACAGTCTTCCGATGGATGTAGCCCACTGTACTGGCCCGGCTTTAGATTCCAGGGAGCAGACCTCCCAAATCCGACCCGCCAGGTGATGCCTATAATCCCAAGCTAAGAAGCTGCACCCGGATCGGAATAGAGTAAAATTTCTAGCTGGGATTGATGAGAGCGAGACTAGGATCTTGGGCCGCTCATTTGTTAATTGCAACCGACGGGTAGCAGCATCTATCGAACGAGAAAGAAAAACGGGGTATCCCTCTCTCGCTCGTATTGCTAAGGACCAGGTTTACCCCTAAATTCCCTGTTGACCCTTCTTTGCTTCTAGCTTTTGGATGCTAATTGCTCCCCTGATTGTTAAGTCTGCTAAATGGACGAGCCCGCGTGACCCATCTTCTTCGCGAATGGATTACCTACGCCACACGTACACGTGGTCATGATAGCCGAATAAGACCAGATCCGACTATTTAACCTAGTGATTTTGGAAGCGACGCATTTACCGCGGTAATGAGGCCGGAGCAGTCGATACGATCTCCACTCTATGTGGGCATAATGCCTTTCTCACTTCACCACCAGGTTAGTGTATCGACCTAGTGTTAGAGAGTAGTCGTGGAAGTTCATACTTCAGTAGAAATTGACGCGAAAAGTGGACGACCGGAGTTATCATTCTAGCCTCCCGCGCTGGCTCGCCTTGTCCCCGATAAGAACGAACTGAGAGTATCTTGCTGCTTGCCCTGGTAGACTTCCAGCTGTTATCGCTCCTGGCGGTGAAACCTGAGTATGCGACATCGACCTTCTAACCTAGCAGAAGTTACCGCTTACAGTTACTGGAAGCGCTTGACAAGGATAACACCTGAATTGGATGCACGCTTTAAGACTCTTTGCTACTCCGATGAGGATCCTGCCGACTCAGCGATGCGTGAGGGAAAAGGACCTCTCGTTCTCCGTCAGCGATGGCGGAGGTAACGACGAAGTAGAGGCGCGAAGTCACCCTGGTAACTTCGTCACCCGCGTTGGTTCGGAACGGAGAACTCTAGCGCTAACTCGCTTGGCCGCAACGCGCCCCCCCTCTCTGTTTGAGACAGGTAATTAAATTGGCCTTAAAAATATATATATATTAAAAATGCCGATTTCACGACTAGTGCAGCCAGGCCCTATGGTTTTTTTTTGTTTTTTTTTTAAAGGCTAATTCTTTAAGCCCAACCAATTCAGTTACCTGTCAAATCTGGACAGGACGGCCTTTCAGGCCTTTTTTTATTGTCATTCTAGTATTACGGGTCACCCCGTAGCAGCCACATCCGCGCTCAAGCCTCCAACGAGGGAACATGCGGGAGCTGCACCCACCAGCAGGTGCTATACCTGCTACAGCAGGTGGGCGATACCGGCCAGGGGTCAGCCGGTAGCATCAGGACCGAGCTTCTTCGATGGGCCAATCACTGTGCCTCCCCTCCGGTCCTCTCCCCCTATGAACATCAGCAGTCTGCATCTGCCCACGAAAGGTGACAAAATACACTCCTTGCTATTTATAGCAAAACGACGAACCCGGTCATTTCGTAACGCTTCGTTTTTCGTTTCGTGTCCCGTGCGAGGTCCCGTGCGAGGACGCCGTTTGTTTTTTGTTTTGTTTTGTTAATTTGTTCCCGTGGTGTCCAAGGGCGTCGTCGCACCGGACACGAAACGAAAGACGAAACGTTATGAGCGCATCTTCCTGCAGAAAATGACCAGGTTCATCGGTTTGCTATAAATAGTAACGAGTGTATTTTGTCACCTTTCTCGGGCAGATGCATTCATTTCGTTTTCGTTTCGTGTACGGTGCGGCGAGACCCAGAAGCCAGAGCGCCCTGCGGGTCCTGACGACCTAACTTCTTTCCCCAAATACAACGTATCTAGACTGAATTATGGCTCAAATACAGCTATAATGACCGTACGTTGTATTCGGGGGAACTGGGTAGGGCCTCGCTGCACTACTCTCCACATGCACAAACGACAAAAACGACGGCAATGTATCTTTCCATGTTCTCGCAGACCATTCAGGTCATTCTCACACTGGGACCAAAGGTCTCAAAATTTTGACGCTTTTGGGCAGGGCCTAGGGCATTGCCACACCACTCACGAAATGTTAAAAAGACAAAAACGTGGCGAGCGCATCTGGCCATGTACTAACGGTAAGTTCATTCTCATTTTGCACTTTCCGAGAGTGGTGTGGCTATGCCCCTAGTTGGGACTTGAGGTCCTCGTGTGGTCGAAGGACGAAGTCGCGGACCAAAAGGGTACATGTTCTTTTTTTGGGGAAGTTGCAGAAATAGCGCCATTCTTTCTCGGAAGTCTCGCACCATAATGATTTGTTGGGTACATGTTCTTTTTGGGGGGAAGTTGCAGAAATAGCGCCATTCTTTCTTGGAAGTCCCCCTTTTTTTTTTTTCCTCAACAAATCATTATAACCAGTGTTGAAGGGTCCGAAAGATGGATTTTTGCCAGGAGAGAGGGACCCCGCCCACAAATTCCTTCTGTTTTCGTTTCTACAGTGGTGTGGCGAGGCCCATAATTTTGTGACGAGAATGGGGCCCGCCAATAATTTTGCTGTTAAACGACCGCGAGGCACTTCTTTTTTTTTTTTTTTTTTTTTTTTTTTTCAAAAGCACAGTCAATTACATTCCAAATCGTATTTGCATCCAGCGGCCTAGCTCAGTTGGTAAGGCACGCAAGTGGCATTCAGGAGGTCTTGGGTTCAATCCCCATTGGCCTCATGCACCTTCCTGGGCATGCGTGGTGCCCGCCACCTAGAGATAGCCCATTGGTCCCCCCAATTGGCATTAAAAAGCAGGCTCTGCTGATGTTCATAGGGGGAGGGGTAATCGGGGAGGCACAGCGACTGGCCACTCAGATGATGCTCGGTCCCTCTGCCACCGGCTGTCCCCTGGTCGGTGCCCCCGTTGGGTTATCAGGCCACCCTAAGGCTATCAGGCCACCCTGGGCTGAAAAGGCCACCGTTGTCAGATTAGACACAAGATTGAATTTACCATGGCTGGTTAATCCGATGATAATACCTCAAGGTCATCGCCCTTTAAAAAAAAAAANAAAAAAAAAAAAAAAAAAAAAAAAAAAATCATATTTGCATATGATTCCGGGGACCTCACAATTCAACCCGGAGTTATCCCGGCAGCATCAGCCGGTTTAGCTTCTGTGTTTTTGTGTCGAAACTATATATGCTAACTAATTCCTCAACCTATTATCCAGGACTCACAGACCTTAGAGACCAGGGTTACCGAATAGTAGGGTCAATTCTAGAGGGGGGAGGAGTGTTGGGAGCAGGAAAGGATCTAAGGACTTGGCTTAGGAACAAAGACCTAGGGAAGAGGGTCAATTCTTCCAAAACTGAAATCAAGAAAAATTTCCAAAAATTCAGCAGTGACTGGCTGGGAGGTGGGAAGGGGGGGAAAATAGGGAGGGTGGTTTGGGAGGGAGAAGGGAAGGAGGATGAACAAGAACTTATCAGAGACTACAAGCTTTTGTTTAATGAATGGTCGCAGGTCGATCCATCGCTACCTCTTCGCCCAGCTAATGAGTTCCCAAGTCTTTTCACTCCTCCTCAGAGTGCACTGGTTCCACTATCATGGTATGGAAGGGATTCAATTGCAAATGGAATGGAAGGGGAGGTATAGTCGGTCTTCCCATCAACCTCTCCTAACTGTTGTAAAGACTAGGTTGGATTGCTTCTTTAGGCGCCTCATGAGAAGGTGAAGAGGTCTCCTATAACAGTTCTCAAAGGTCTTTACCTCAATTGCCAAATGTGAGGGACGCTAAACCCGTTTTCCAGCAGGTGCCGCTCCCCACCAATAGAAGGAGCCGCCCAGAGAGTGCTAGGGTAGTCTGCTCCTACCAGCTACCCTAGCATAGACTCAGGGTACTTTTTCTTATATATAAAAAAAAAAAAAAAAGACCAAAAGGAGGGAGAGATAAGCTGGACCGGGAATAGGGTGAATCAATGGGGAAATGTAGGAGTGGGTCTGAGGTGAGCGAATACACAGGCCTACAGACGGCCTGACTCCGTTCTAAACCGACTGGTCGACCACAAGTGGTCGAAGCTGCATGACAATCTTTTACTTCCTAAATCTAAAGCCTACTGTGGCTCGAACTCAACCGAGTGCCATGGTTGGGTGAAGGAACAGGAAACAGAGGGGGGGAGTAAGCGGAGAGGGAGAGCAGAAAGAACGTCCAGTGACTAATCATTTATTAACCACAGGCAGATGTGCAGTCTGCCCTCGATAGTAACTGTGGCCAGCTTATTGTCGCATGCCCATGTATCGAGAAACCAACGGAGCCCCTTTGGCGATTGTCCTCTTGCCGCCTTCCTCGTCCAGTCAACTATGATCATTGTTCTGATCAAGTAATTGATCTTTGTCTTCATAGCTTGGTCAGATGTGGATTGGTTCTCGAAAAGCAAGCTGTTCCGGTCCATCCAAATGACCCAGAGCAGGATAGATCGGATTGCTTGTGCGACATAGCCCCGACCGACAGCTTTGAACCAGGAGGAAGGAATAATTCCAAACAGGGCCCATGCTTCGTCCCAGAGTAACACAGTTCCAACAAAGGTCCACCAGTGTAGCTCCCACCATTGCCAAATTCGCTTTGAAGCCGGGCATTCCCATACCAGGTGTGCAAGAGTCTCCTCAGCTCACCCCCCGCATCTGCCACATTTCGTGTGTAAGTCCATTCCCCTCTCAAAGAGCCAGACCCCCGATGGGACTGCTGCATGCGAGAGAGAAGCCAGAGAAGCGAGGCTAGCTTAAGAGAG